TTATCTATGAAAGAAATTTACAACCAGTATATTCAGTTTATGAAAGAGTACTTTTCACTAGAACACGTAGAATTAGTGCCAGACACAGATTATGAATTAGAGAATAAACACTATTATATCCCACATCACTTCGTGTTGAAGGACTCTAGCTTAACAACAAAATTGAGAGTTGTTTTCGATGCGAGCGCTAAAACAACCACAGGTGTTTCTTTAAATGATACACTAATGATAGGCCCAAAAATACAAGATGACTTAATTTGTATTTTACTAAGATTTAGACTTCATAACATTGCAATAACCGCTGATATTAAAATGATGTACAGACAGATAAAGGTTCATGAAAAAGATAGAGATTTTCAGAGAATATTATGGAGAGATAGCCCGTATAAGCAAATACAAGTTTGTCGTTTGAAAACAGTTACATATGGAACTGCAGCTGCTCCATATCTTGCAACCAAAGTTTTGAGTCAGTTAGCGATTGATGAAGGATTGAACTTTCCAAAGGCAAAGAATATAGTTTTAAGAGATTTTTATGTTGATGATATGTTAACTGGTGTAAAAGATAGTTCGGAAGGTATTGCATTGATAGACGAATTGCAACATCTGCTAAAAAGTGGTGGCTTTGAGCTTCACAAATGGTCGACAAGTGAACCGTCATTGTTAAAAACCTCTGGCTTAACAAACACAGATAGTGACAATATTCATCGTGTAATAGAAGACAAAACCATTGAAAGTTCTGGGATTGGAATGGCATCCGGACAATGATGAATTCAAATGTAATGTCGGTGTAATAGAGTATCAAAGTGTTCCGACTAAAAGAATTATTTTGTCATTCGTAGCAAAACTATTCGATCCATTGGGGTGGATAGCTCCGTTTGTAATTCTCGCTAAAATGATCCTTCAGCAATTGTGGAAATTACAGTTATCATGGGATGATCCTGTAACAGAAGAGATTGATCGAAATTGGAGAAATCTATGTAGAGAAGTTAAACTTTTGAATTCTATAAATATACCTAGGAAAATTCTGCTACCTGATTATTTTCGATGTGAACTTCACGGATTTTGTGATGCGTCTGAAAGAGGTTATGCAGCAGTTATTTATATCAAAACTTGCAATAACTCTGACATTAATGTTAAACTCGTAACAGCTAAAACTCGTGTAGCACCATTAAAATCTATTACGATTCCAAGACTGGAATTATGTGCAGCAGTGTTATTGGCACGCTTGATTCAGTCTGTAAAAGCTGCATTAGTTATAAATTTTGATTTAGTGCAAGCTTGGAGTGATTCACAAATCGTGTTGTCATGGCTAAGGTCAGATCCTAAAAAATGGCAAGTATTCGTATCCAATAGAGTTTCTGAAATACAATCCATCTTACCACCTGAGAACTGGAGTCATGTTGATGGAAAGGAAAATCCAGCTGATTGTGCTTCACGTGGATTATTTCCTGCAGAACTATTATCTCATCAATTGTGGTGGAATGGTCCTTCTTGGTTAAAGTGCAGTGAGATTGCCTTGTCTAAAAATATTCTTATAGATGAAGAGGCATTACCAGATGCACGTAAAACAGTCTCATTTGTAGTTTCTGAACCTGTACAGGAACTTGCTATTATATCAAATATATCTTCATTTCCAAAGTTACAACGCATATTTGCTTGGATATTAAGATTCATATCGAATTCTAAAGTAGCATATCTAGAAAGAAATACGTCTTTTTTATCTAGTAATGAAATTCGAGCTGCAACTTTCTGTATTGTCCGAATAATACAGCGATTTCACTTTTTTAAAGAAATTCAATGTTTGGAGTTGGGAAAGGACTTACCTACAAACAGCAACCTCCTTAGCTTGTGTCCAATTTTAGATGACAACAAAGTGTTACGTGTAGGAGGAAGACTGAAAAATGCGCAACTATCAGAAAATGAAAAACATCCAATCTTATTACCTTCAAAACACAATCTGACAGAAATCATAATTAGACACTTTCATGTCAAATATCTGCATGCAGCACCGGAACTTCTTCTATCTTTAATTAGACAGCAATTTTGGATCATAGCTGCTAGATCTGCTATCCGAAAAGTAGTAAGATCTTGTATCACGTGTTGCAAACTTAGAGCTAAAACTGCAAGTCAAATAATGGCTGATCTACCGGAATCTAGAGTAACACAATCGCGACCATTTCATCGAACTGGAATAGATTTTTCTGGACCGTTCATGATTAAACATCGTGCAGGACGTGGACAAAAATCATTTAAATATTACGTATGCTTATTTGTGTGTTTTGTAATCAAGGCAGTACATCTTGAAGTGGTAGAAGAAGATTTGTCAACAAAGGCATTTTTAAGTGCATTGAAACGATTTATTGCAAGAAGAGGGAAACCATTTGAGATTTATAGTGACTGCGGTACTAACTTTAAAGGTGCAGACAAAGAAATCAGAAAATGTTTTTTGCAATGTAAGCAAAATCAAGAAATTCACAAATTTTTGTCTTTAGAGGAAATAAAATGGATATTCAACCCGCCATCATCTCCCCATTTTGGTGGACTATGGGAATCGGCAGTAAAGTCAATGAAATTACATCTAAAAAGGACTGTTGGTGATACTGTGCTGACCTATCCGGAATTTCAGACCTTGATAGCGCAGGTTGAGGCTTGTCTCAACTCTAGGCCATTGTGTCCAACATCGGCTGATCCAAATGATTTAACTGCATTAACACCTGGTCATTTCCTAATAGGAACGTCTTTAACTGCCATACCTGAACCAGACCTAAATTATAGTTCCTTCAATCACATTGACAGATGGCATGTGAGACAGTTTATTTTTCAGCACTTCTGGAAAAGATGGAGTCGAGAATACCTGTCTCAGCTTCAACAAAGACCTAAATGGCAAAAAAGTCAAAACAATTTAGAAGTCAATGACTTAGTCCTCATCAAAGAAGACAACCTTCCGCCTCTTAAATGGAGGTTAGGGAGAATAATTGCTGTTCATCCGGGCTCAGATCAAAGAGTCAGAGTTGCTTGCTAGTATTAAAACTGGTCATGGTGTCATAAAACGACCAGTCGTGAAATTGTGTCCTCTTCCTATTCAGACTAAAAAACTATGAACTGCTTCGCATATAATATTTTGTATTATTTTTCTTATGTTTATCTTTATTACAGACTAAGAAGTTTCAAAATGCTCCAACTGTTGAAATCCCCTGGGATTTCAACGAGGGCCAGGATGTTTATGTGAGTATCGTTTGCTTCATTTTATTGTTGCAAACAGCGTAAATTCCTTTTGTTTTTCTTCCTTTAGTTTTGAACTTTATGTGTGGCAACAAGATAATTGATTGATAGAATTGTGTTTGTGACAGCCATGTAGAATGGCTCGCTTATTTGTATCAATTATTTCGCATCGCTGACAAGTGTAATTTAATAAAAGTGTAGGAATACAGTCCATTTGTTGATTGATTATAGTTTGTGAAACATATTAAAAAAGTTTTAAAAATGTGCAAAAATTATTCCTTTTTTAATATCCCTAAGATTGGAACACACATCCAAAAAAGTAAAGGTTTGTGTTGACTTTAAAAGACCTTAATGCTATACTTTACGTGACATGTTCCTTTAATTATATAGACATATTCATTTATTATCAGTATGTATCTCAGTGAAAGAAGAGAAAAGTCTGTCTCTCGCACGCACACAAAAAGTCTTAAATAACTGATTAAAATCATCTGATATCAAATACCCAGACTAAAGCAAATTTCACAGTTGATCAAGGGAAAATATTTTGCTTTTTATTTTTTCTTCATGTTACGTACCTTTCAACTGGTTCCCTAAGGATGTGCTTTTATTTTTTAACAAATAATCCAGATGTAATAAAATTCATCATAAAAACACTGGCTCGTGAAATCCTTGATTTTTTTTAACTTTTTAAAAATTTTAATTTTAATTTTTATTTTTAAGCACATTAAATTTATTGAGGGGGGCCCAGGAAAAATTTTTGCATAGGGGTCCAAGAGTTCTAGTTACGCCACTGTAAGATGGCATCAGGAAATTATAAAATTAAAAATGTCAAACTGTAATTTATGAAATAAAGAACAATTATGATCTAAAGGGTATCAAAATTTACAAAAAAAAAAAAAAAAAAAAAAAAAAGCTTAATATTTGTTTACTTTACTTTCTTCGCTATCGGAAGCGAATTATAATGACGAGGAATTTTATTTAAATCATATCAAAGACGGAGTACATCGAGATGAAATACTACATTTAGTAAGGAATTATAAGCCAAATAAAATAAAAACATCTGCCCTGAAGATAAGGATAGTGCTGACAGATCAACTTCCAATTCATTGCGCGCCGCGGCGTCCCCCCGCCGCAGAGCAGCGTGAAATTGATAAACAGATTTCGGAATGGTTAGATAAACAAAGGATATGCCTTTATCCATTTTTTGCAGCAATTCCACTTTTTGTTTAATGGACTTCGAAACATACTTTCGCTTTGTAGATCCTTTACATATTAGTAAATATATATCGGAAATTCTATTTGACATAATCGAAAGTTCAAGCTTACTTTTATAAAATTGCTCTAACAGTCTGCAAAAAATAATAAGCCGGATCCAATTCGAAGATTAAGGAACAACGCAATCTGCAACATTAACTGAATTAGATAATTTTAGCTTAGCTTATACCGTCCGTTATACATTAAATGCGCATGCGTAAACGTATTTTGGGCATGCGCACACGCATATTCGCATTAGTAAAGGTCTTACGCACATGCGTCAAAGCGACGCATGCGCAGAAAGTTTGTGGTTTTGAGGTCCGGATTATAGATCATTCCGGATTATGGGTGTCCGAATTAACGACTTTTGACTGTATTACACGATGGGTGTTAATTACATATTAAGGATTATTATAGTAAAATAAAATTTTTTTGTGAAGAATTAAAAATTATGAAAATTCATGCTACATTATATATAGAAATGTTAGATAATAAGAAAATTAAATTAAAATTATGTTTCTTAGTTAATGAATGTGTTGAGTGATCTAACAGAAAGACCTTTAGCAAAAGTAGAGTTCAAGAAGTTGATTTCTTCATTAACAAGTTCTGTTTATGTGGAAGTTCTGAGTGCAAAGGAAAATTATGATAAACTGATGATTCTTATGGAAGGGCCTGCTAAAGGAATAACATACAAAAATCTGCCTATTATTTGTGGAGCAATACAGTGGTCTGAAGATTTACAAAATAAATTATTCTCTCCTATTGAATCTTTCCAGAAAATTGAAGATTTGTAAGTTATTATTATTATTGTTATTATCCATAAAAGTTGTTATTTTGCATACATAAATCAGAAAAAAGTTTTACATGTTCAATAATGAAAAAAACTAATCACTGGGTAATAATTGCATATGGTATGTTAGAAGGAGTCACACAAACCGTTTTTCAGTACCGACCAGTCTATTGATACATTTATCTGATTGCAGGACAAAGATTTTCATACAAGTTTAATATATTTGCTGATATAGCAATCGCTTAACAGTTATTTTCATTTTATTGTTTTAATACAATTAACCCTTACAAATGATGAAACAGCTGCTGTTTTAGAAGAGGGATAAAAGTTGATAAAGGTAAAATGTAGACTCTGTGGAGGATGGCTGCACATCTCCACTCAGCAGGCCCAAACATTTTTATTTGAAATGTAATTTTTTCATAAGGGTGCAATGCTGATCGACACTAAATTTCTTTTTGAAGAAATTCAACAGAAGAACATTAGACTAATCCCAGAAAATAGTGGCCATGACATTACCAACAGATGGTATCAACTTCTTCCTATTGGTATCAGGATGTTTCCATTTCATGACGACTCTTTTGCTACAGGGCTTGGAGCCTTGTTTGATTCACCTTAAACACAATTTCATGGGTATAACACTGTATATTAATAATACCATGTTGAAACTGGAAACTATTGTGTAAATTGGAAACTATTCCTCAGATTACAAACATAATGTCCTTCTGGCAAAAACTTTTGAATAACTGTAAAATATCCATCACAAGTTATGGAACAGGCTTTCAGGTTAGTTTGGATAAAGTTGTCATGCATATTTTTTGTTAGAATCAGTTCCTTTAATACATTACTTGTTGACATTTCTGCTGTTGATGAACTTGGCTAACTGCTGTTTCTGTTATGAAAGCCTGTGTCACTTTGCTGGACAGAAATAAATGACAAATTTTTTAGATGTATTTTCTTAAAACTTTAATAATTTGATACTGGAGCTGAGTTGCACGGATGTTAAAAATTCATAAAAGTCTTATTATGCATCTCATTTCAATGACAAGCCACTTTTACAAACATCTTGCCATTCTGAATTATTATTATGCATCAGTAATGACATTTACATAGACAATATCAATGTAAATGTCATTATTGATGCATATTACTCTTTTGTGTTCAATATTATACATGTAACATATGTGTTTGATTATGATTCTTGTAAGCCTTTTTTTCTGATTTATCTTTTTATTACTGCATCACACTACATTTAAGCTTATAAAAATTTTCGTTTAATATATCAATTTAAAAAGAAGTTTTTAAGAAAGTGTTCACAAATTTTAGATAGTATCAGGTTTTTCAGTAAGTTTCATTTGTTAGGTTGTAATTAATAGTTTGAATCAAAGTATCACAAAAGATTTTAAAGCATAGAACATAGCAGAATTTTCTGCTCACATATCATTTATACAAATAGTTATATAACCTAAAGATTTTGTGCTTCTTCATCATCTTGCTTAATTTAGTAATTAAATAAAATTTAAAAATAAGTTCTTAATTTTCATCAGCATGAGATATTTGCAAGCATTATAGTGTGCCTTCTGAAACTAAAAAATATTCACACATGTACAACACATAAAAGGACATATTTTAATTATACAAACCCAGTATTTTATTAATATAAAAAGTAATAAATATAATTCCTAGCTTATAATAAATATTAATACACATGTATTGCATTATCTTAGATGCATCCTTTCCGCAATATTAAATTATAAACTTTAATTCAATAATTGAAGAACTGTCCTTTTGATAAGCCTCATAATCTGATTACAGTAAAATATTATAATTAATTTTTTGTTAAATATATAATTTATATTTGTACTTTGATGAGCTCTAAGCTAAATTACCACATTTAAATCTTAATTATAAATGCTAAATTAAAAAACTTAAATATTTAAATAGAAAGATTTGTGTTATAACAAGATTCAGCTGGTAAAGCAGGCTATGAAAATTTAAAGATTTTTATTTTACTCTTATTTAATACATTGTTGGCCATTAAAGCTGCAATACAAGAACAGCTAATTGTTATGAAATTTAGTACAATTAATTTTTTAGTACAAAGAGCATGTGTGGTAGGATATGAAAATAAATCACAGTGCAGCATTTATAAAGGCAATGGGCCCTGGTAATCTACATATATTAACACCGAGTCGGGCCACATTCCCTGGCTGCTTCTCGAGCTGCCTTACATATTCATATAGCCTCCCTCAGACGACTGTGTCGACGGGGCGCCAACCCATCGAATAGTCCGCAGGGACTTCTCATGTTCATCGCCACAATCCATCACACTGAGGACTGTGCGGGGAGCCGTCCCCCCCGACACAGCGCTTAATATCTACATGAGTAGTTCTCCCACAGCGAAGGCAACGAACACGACAGTACCAAGGTCCCTGCCAAGCCCGCACCTACCATAGGATGGACCTATGGTTCTAGTCCTGTGAAGAATGATTATTTACCACGTCGAAATCTACATATATTGTTATGAAATGTCCAGGCGCGGTAGGATAGCTTTCCCGCAAAGCAGGTTTAGGGTTGCCAGAAAATGGCAAGGGAAGGCAGGGTCGCCACATTTGGGGAGAAATCGCCCATTTGGCGACAAAATTGGCAATATGCCATGGACAGATGGAGAATCTTCTGGAACGAATTCTTACTGGTTTAGCCCACAATGTTCTCGAACACAAACCAAAAGCTATAAAAACTCTTCTGGTATGCGGAGAGTCAGTCCGTGCGGAGTTAGAGTCTCGTCTAGCGAGCCGATCGCGAGTCAGTGCGGAGTCCATCGAGTTGATAGGCAGTCAGTGAGCGAGTGTCTCGAAGTCTAGTGCCGAGTTGGTCGTCGATTGAATCGAGAGAGTTTCATAGTGTATCGCAAGTTAGTGATTGTCGAGTTTTATCTGAGATTGTATTGAGCTCCGAGAACGACCAAACCAATTCGGGAGCTGTACTCTTGTGTATCGTTGAGTGCATAGCGAGTTGTAGCGTGGAGAGTCTCGAGAGTACGTAGAGGTCTGAGAACGACTGAACGTACGTAGAGTCGGGAGCTGTACTCTGGTGCTTTGCCGTGAAGCTGTTTCCACCGCTAACCTGATAGCTTGGAGGCTATGTCGCTGATTGTTTCAGCGTGTTTATGGTCGTTCTTCGACGACTGTAAACGTGTTACTGGAGCTGTCTTGAATAATACTGGCCAATAAATTGTGTTTCGATATTTCATCAAGTGTCTTCGTTATTCACTCCACTCCTGACACTAGTTGTTACGTTTTTGTACGGGTTCGTGGATTTGGGACACCAAGTTGTTACATTTTTGTACGGGTTCGTGGATTTGGGACACCAAGTTGTTACATTTTTGTACGGGTTCGTGGATTTAGAGTGAATAACAACGACACTTGATGAAGCATCGAAACGAAACACAATTTATTGGCCAGTATTTATTCAAGACAGCTCCAATAACTCGTTTACAGTCGTCGAAGAACTCGCGATACACTAAGAGACTCTCTCGACGCACTCGACGACCAACTCGGCACTAGACTTCGAGACACTCGCTCACTGACTGCCTATCAACTTGATGGACTCTGCACTGACTCGCGATCGGCTCGCTAGACGAGGCTGTAACTCCGCACGGACTGACTCTCCGCATACCAGAAGAGTTTTTATAGCTTTTGGTTTGTGTTCGAAAACATTGTGGGCTAAACCAGTAAGAATTCGTTCCAGAAGATTCTCCATTGAATACAGGTGAAATATTGGATGGAACTTGAGCTTTTACGACCATTTGACTGGAAAGACGAAAATTATTAAAAACTGCGTGCCATTGTTGCTAATAGTATAATGAAAGAGAATTAGCTTATTTTTCTATCGAGATTTTTTGTGTGGGCTCCACATCGCATCAGAGGGAAATATGTATGACTATAAATCGTATTTTTTGCATCGTTATTAGAGAAGGATTACAGCGGTATCGTTCTCTCTGTTGTTAGATGCATTACTCTCAATCTAACTTAACTGGCATCGGGTACTTCCGCCAGTGTCATCTAAGCTAAGTATAAAAAGAGAGTTTTTCCTTATGGGAATATTGTTTCCTTCTTGTTGGCTTGATTAGAAGTGTATAGTAAGTAAGAAGTAATTCTGTCTTCAAGCTAAGAAGACAGAATGTTCTGTATTTTTAACTTCTTTTTTCGGTCTGAATTGATGGAGGCGAAAATAGTGCGCCTTGTCTGAAGACTATCATATTCTCAAACTGCTGTTTGCATTAGTCAGACTCTTAATTACCGTCATGAGAATACGAAACGAGTGAATCCTTGAAGGGTAGACAGAATGACATGCTAGTTCACTATGACCTTAATGTCAGTATCCTAGAGAACAGACATCTTCTGTAGATAATACAGCCACATCACGACCCTTAGCACAGTGTGTAGTCACAAGAAGTGGGTGCATTGTTCAGAGCTGTGGGTTAATGGAGACCTCTTTAAATGCTACTCCAAATAAGTAAGAAGCAATTGACAATCAGGGCCAGTTCTAGACTTTTTGCCAGCAGGTGCCAACTCTGCAACTTCAAAATTCTGCCACCCGTTTCATCCAAAATTCTAAAAATTTTCCATCTTTAAATTTTGCCACCTGGTACAGTCACACCCTCTGCACACACCCTGTTGATAATTTCTTGTAATTAATAAGAGTACAGAGCGAAAATAACAACTTTAATTAACGTAAACCTTTGACCATGGTATTATTAATAGTGCATTCACTATTTATCCTGAATAGATGCAAAGAATGATCTTTTTATATGTACTTAATGTATCTTTACCTGTATCCATATATGTATTCTAGTTAGTGTTGTAGGCTCGTCGATACTTGGATGCAGACGCATGTATTCTTGTAACTTGTTTTGGTAAAATATTAAATTTTTTACACATTGGATCGCAAGATTCGGAATCCTTAACATTGTAACTAAGAATCAAAGACGACACTTCGAG